CCGCGAAAAGTAGCCTACTTCATTGTTCCGACAGCATTAGAGCAAAACTAATGACTTAATTATAAATGCAAAGGAAATTTCCATAACATTTTCCATTTACAAATGGGTATGCTTGGTAACCAGGCCAGGGACCACTTTTTTGAAATCAGGGACCATTTTACCGAAATCTGCTAGGCTCTCTCGCTGAAGCGTTCCGCACAGCACACCCAGGCACAAAACTTTTAAGACTTATTTAAATATATCAAAGCAGCGAATAGAGAGAGAGCCTGGGACTAGGCTGGCATCTATAGTACATAACTAATTACCTAAAAGACCAACGTATTAACGAACTATCCCACTCAATAAAATTAACAAAGTAATTCAATGGTTAGCTAACTACCATCTGGTAGTAATATTAATATGCATTGTAAAAATTTACATCATGTGGTTCATTAAATATTACTTTCGTTGTAAAAAGCTAGAATTTCTTTGTCTTCAATAATCACAATGATAAAACGCGTTTCTCTTTATTATTTTCAGGCTGGAAACTTCCTTAAAGCAAGATGGTTGTGAAATTGAACTGGACAACACAACAGGAACAATAACCGTGAAAGGCTCACAAGCACAAATAGAAAAGCTTAAAAATGAAACACATGATATCACTAGCCACTTTGGCGAACGCTTATTGAAGCAAAGCAAATTTTCCTTACTGAAAACACCCAAAGCCTTTTCTCATGTGAATACATTGTTATCTGTGGAAAATGTAATCGTAGAGGTTTTAGGTAATGAAAAAGGGAATGTAATTATGTTGTATGGTATGGATCAAATACAAGTCCAACAAGCGTATAACATGATAGAGAACGTTATCGGTGAATTGAAGCTGCCTCAGAGTAAGTCAGCAATACTGTTATAGTTTCTTTCTCGATTATAGCTTCTTTGTTTGTTATAGTTTCTTTGTTTGGGAGATGTGATTAACATGCTGGCTCTTTACAGTTGAGATCCTGGTTCCAGTGTTTCTTGTTTTGTTCAGCCTTCAGGGAAAATGGCTACGAAACAATGTTTTCTGGTTTGTCAACCTTCGGGAAACATGGACAGGAAACAGTGTTTTCCTGGTTTGCACAGCTTTGGGAAACATGCATGGCTAAAAATATTACATCGAAATATCTTTAAAAACTCTCTGCGTGTAGTTCAATTAACAAACCACGGCCGCTTATATCCAAATTTGCTCTTTTTTATAGGATTGAAAACAAAATCAGCTCAAGATGCTTTGCTGAACGAGTTAGGAACGTCAATTCCCCTCACTTTACAAACAGATGAAGAACAACCTCGCATTCTATGTTTCAAGAAGCACTTGGCAGACCTGAATGGCAAAATTGACGATTTTCTGGAACGAAAAAAGACAGTCGATAAGCGTGTTCCTCTTAGCAAGGTCGTATTACGCTACCTCAGTCTACACGAAGAAAATCGTTTCGACAATTTGCGTCTGTCATCAACTGGGTTGAACATTGTGATTGGCCGTGATGCATTGATCGTGTCGGGTGAAAAGCCATTGGTTGATAATTGTTGTACTAGCATACAACAGTTTACTGGAGGTTGGTAACTTATTCTCTTTCGTTTTTTATTCCCATGTCTAGTAATAGTACGCCAATCCCAAAGATAACTACTTGAAATACTTACACTAAATTAACTTTATTTATACTGGATAACTTTAACGGTTCCAAAATGTTCTCCCTATAGGTCCTGTAATATTAAGCCTGGCGCACACGATGCGATTTTAGTCGGCCGATAAAAATCGTTTGACTAAAGCTAACAAAATCGTTGTGTGCGGTGTCATTTTTAACCGATTTTTGTTGCTCGATTTTAATCGGACAACATCAAAACGTTTTGATATTATACGATTTTTATCGGTAGAATTTTAAGTATAACCAATCAGATTTCATGCTGTGATCACGTGCTTGTATTTATTTGGCAACATGGCGGCTACAGCTCAGGGAGCGTATTTTTTTCGTAATCGTGTGGGGAGTATACCGATGTATATTGGTATGTCAAACGATTTTTATCGGCCGACTAAAATCGCATCGTGTGCGCCAGGCTTTAGCTGCCAGTGTTATTGCAGAAGGTAAACTAAACTAATATTATCTTTTCTGGATAGCTCTGTCAGTTTTGAACTGTTCTCTCTAGAGTGGGAGGAAGGGTAATTACATTTTATTAATGCAGTGTTTTAACTATAATACTATTGTTTGTGGAAACACCACGTAAATTTATTACTGCAAAGCTTTCGATCCGTAAGCCCGGATCCTCATCAATGCTAATAATATGATCGAAAGCTTCGCAGTAATAAATTTACGTGGTGTTTCCACAAACAATAGTATTATATATTTTATCGCCATGCAAACCTACAAAAAACTTATTGTTTTAACTGTTATCACAAGAGGAAAGCTAAGTCTAAACTAAAGAAATTGTATTTCTACAGAATAGCTCAGTCACTTATAAAAGTTCTCCTTAAATGTGTTTCCATTCATTATTGGTCAAGTGTTAAGCCGGACAAAACCAATGGCGTGTGACAACGTTAACACCGAGGATGCACTGAATATTGCATGAATGAAACACCGGTTCCTAAAGTGAAAGGCACATGACTTAAGGTGGCTCCCTACAGTTTTCTAAAATTTTAAGTATTTTAGGTAGCCTTCGTTTTGAACCAAATTTATATTGAAAACACTTAAGACAGGGCAATATAATCATTTCCAGGAAAGTTCAGAAGTCTTCTGCTGTCGATATATGAACAAATAGGAACAGTGTTAGTGTTGCCATGGCAACCATGACGTTTCATCTTTTGCACTTTTATTGTCTAATTTTACAATCAAACAGCAATATCTTTTTTTTCCTTCGGTCAATTTTTCTGAATTTTTTTTTTTAAGATTTATGGTTGAAAGGGGAATGACATATTAAAATTTGAAGGGATGTTTATAAGGCCGGTTTTGAGATATTCATGAATAACGACTACAAAAAATCTGTCTTATAGAATTTCTTGAAATTTTGATATGTTTGGCGAATCGTCATGCTTAGCAAACGTGCAAAATTTAAAAAACTTTCACCGAAGGAAACGCGAGAAAAATAGTCCTAAATCCAATTGAAGCTGTTGACGTGACAAAATATCGATTCGACATGATCACTATTTGCGTGGGGAACACGAAACGCGTACGGTTTATAGTTGGCTTTTTTAGCAATTTTCTCTTTGAGTTTTTGGCTTATATGTATCACACAGATATTTTTTACTTATTTGAAATGAAAATAAAAGATATATGTATTCAAAATACGAAACATTGAGAACACAATAACGCACTGACTTAATCCAACGTTTCTTAAATTTAGTTCTGTTGTGAAAATCGGTGTGAAAACTTTTCAAAACATTCAAGTAGAGTTTGACTTTTCGTATAAAACAACTCGTAACTGTCTGCATTATAATTTTATTGGATTCAGCAGATAAAAAACTACATGTGAACTGAGATGAATGACAGGTTTTACGTAAGTTTCAGTGACAATTCAGGAGTGCCTTCAAGACAGTATAAATATAATTTCAGTCCGTGACACTGTTGTTGAACATTGTGAGCATTATGAAATACAGTACTGAACGTATTAAATATATAAAAAAAAACACACTGAATGTAGGTAAAAACTAGCTAACAACATACGTACTGTTCGAATGTTGAAAAGTTTAGGATTATAATAAAAAACTGGCGTTTTCTTTGTAGATAAAAATACAAAAACAACTTCCCGCGGCTTGTTTACTTGTTTCAAGATTTTTACCGGGCCACGACGATTCCACGCGTGAGTCGCGAGGATGACGTCTGAGCTATATAAATATTTTAAACTGGACTATAACTGTAGGGAGCCACCTTAAAGCAAGAAATTGGTAGCCACTTCAATAGATATGATCCATTATATGGTGCCAGTATTTTTATTGGGGAGAAGCTAAAAATTAATACAAAAAATAACAAATGTTTGGTAAAATTTCTTTGTTACACGTTTTAGCACTTTGACTGTTCGACGAAAATTCCGAATAAATCAATCGACTAATAGGTCTTCCGAAGGTAGATCTCAGACTCCGCCGCGTTTAAATTCAATATGGTGGCCAACGTGAAATCTCAGGATTTAGACCGCTTTAGCTGCTAGTAATTACTGTTTCTGTTTTATCACTGGAGCAGACTTTCTTGATTAAATATAGCACAGTGGTTACCCAGTAGAAAAAGTATCATAATGGTCAAAAGTAATATTGTAGAAACTTTAGACATATTGTTCCAGATGCCTGCCGGGGAGGTTAATATACTAATGCATTTTTTTTTCAAGGCTAAAAATAAATAGTGATGGCTCACAGTAGACTAAGTGATCCACAATATAGAAACTGGGTTACTGTTGGTCGAGCAATTCAGATTACCCGAAACGGCTTAGAAACCATAATTCAAAATGCTGCTGACAAATACCACACATCACTGCTTGCAACTTTGCCAAATAATGTACATGCGTGGGAATCTCGCTTGAAGAATGCCCATCGATCACATGATAAAAGAAAAATATCCTGGAGCAACAGTGACAACACTCAATGGCTGACCGTTGGCGCGTCATGGGAGATTGCTAAGATTTTCATGGCTCCCTTGGGACCGAGAAAGTTTGATGTAGTCAACGCCAAAACTACTGATATATCGGGACTGTTGAATGTATTAGAATGGTCTCCGAGACTGACAAATGGTATGTTCAACACAGGTGTCGATCTCTCGAAAATAGTAGATGCAAGAAGCGCTAGGAATCTTTGGGCGCATGCACCGTTGCTGCATGTAAGTGATGCTGACAAAGTCGACGCGTTTGCATCTTTAACCTCGCTTCTTCAAGACTCAGAACTGAATGGTGACAAAGATGTCCAAAACGCCATGAAAGGGCTTAGTAGTTTACTCAATACTGGTCTAGCGGTTATCGAAGAGAAAGAATTGGAATTATTCGTTCAGTTAGAACGTCAACTTGGTCAGGATATGGTCAGTTTGGGAAATGATATGAGCTGTTGGAAAGATGAAGTCGGAGCGAACTTTGAGCAGATTAAAGATCAGATGAAAGGCTTGGATGAATTTGTAAAGAAAAATGAACTGAAAGCCGTCGAGAAAAGAATCAATCACTTGGACGATTCTACCAACAGCCGACTGGAAAAGCTAGAAGAAGCTATATCAGAGTCACAGCAATTATCTTGTGAGATGAAGCAGGAGCTAAAGTTCAACCCAGTCTCTGATCGGATGAAGGAAGAATTTGTTGGTCGTGAGTGGTTATTCAGTGACATTGACAACTGGTTAGAAAAAGATCTCGGGCCTCGAGAGTCTCGTGCCTTCCTTATCTGGGGTGGTGCTGGAACAGGCAAAAGCTCGTTTTCCCAAGAGTTTGTCCATCGGCACGAGGGAGAAAAATTGGCTGGATACCATTACTGTCAAAAAGATAATCCTCGCACCTGCGATTTGGAATCGCTAGTCTATAGTCTCAGGAGTATGCTCTCGAACAGTCTTCCCGAATATGCCGCCTTGGTTGAGAAACTACAGACTGATAAATTTGGAAATTATCCGAATGCACTGTTCGATTTGTTAATTACCACACCATTGCAGCAATTGAATGAAAATGCCAAACATTTTTTTATCATCGATGGCTTGGATGAAGGAGGTGCCACGATTGCTTCTTGCTTTGCCAGATTATCAGGAACACTTCCTTCGTGGCTTCGCGTCATATTGACTGCAAGACACAATGCTCCAGCTTTATCTGGCCTTTTTTTAAATTCCATCTCTGCTAACCTAGACCAATTTGAGACTAGTCCCAAGTCCCTGTCTAGCAACGATATTCGTGAATTTGTCGCCATGAAGTACAGAAAACTTCAAACTGAATATAAGTGTATTCCTTCTTTCTTTGCTAATGACGAGCAAGTAGGCCAAAAGAAAATAGTTCAGGCTAGTCAGAATTGCTTTCTTTATGCTAAGCTTGTGATGGAACACATCTTTGATGGCCATGATGGAATTGGTTTGCCTGCCTCGTTATCTGAGATGTACTGCTTGGATTTCAGGCGTCACTTTCCGAATATAGAATTCTTTGAGAAAAAAGTTGCACCTGTGCTTCAGATTGTACTTGCCATTCAATCTGCTAAGGCTTTTATACATAAAGAGATACTCATAAAAAAATTGTTAAATTTCAAAACTCCCCTTCCTTCTATTTTTTATGAAGGTGAAATAATTCACTTACAGAAGTTACAGCAGGCTTATGAGGAGAACGATGAAAGTGTTACAGGGGTTGTGAAGTGTGGTTTGCTGCCAGAAGTTAAGATGCATGATCTCAATAAAGTCCTCAAACTTCTATCAGGCTACTTAGTAAAGGATGATTCTGATAAGTATTATTTCAGCCATAGTTCTGTAAGAGATTGGTTGCAAGACGAAGAGTCAGATTTCTTTTGCGATTTACTCAATGGGCACTCCATTATATAACTTGAAAATTCTTAAAGTTAAGTATCCTTCACCAGTAGAATTTGTTGAAGATTTAAGTTTTCATTGGAAGCAATCACATCGTACTGCTCTTCTAGACCTCGAATTCTTTTCTTTGCGTTATCTCTTTCATTCCAGTGAGAGTGGGGGTTCAAACGTAAATGTTCTGATATCTGAAATAGGTATTAAAGCAATCCACCTTCTTCATGCCGCAAATTATTTGATAGCTGCACATACTGGATTTTTAGTGGTGACGTAATGCGTGCCTTGAGCTGTTTTATCAAAGAACTACAGCTCGTCCCGAAAGAATCAATGCCCCAGTTATTCTTTTCGTCTCTCGCTTGTGAATTCTATTACGATGAGATATTTGAATTTTGTGTAAACGAAGGAGTGACGGCGGATGTATGTGTTCCTCAATTCTTTAAGATCACCACGGGCTTTGACTTGTCCATCTGCTGGAACGAAGATGTCCAAAAGTATTTTAGAAAATTGAAGTCAGGTGTAAAGAATGTTATCACCTTGGAGTCCCTTAAAGAGAAGCCGTTTTATCCAGAAGAAGCTAAAGTGTCGGAATTTACATTGGAGATCATTCAGAAACCTCTTTCAGGTATTGATTACAAATATTCTTGTAGGTCATAAAATTATTCTTTGATATAAAGTTCATTAAGCATATTCTTAAAAATAGCTTTGGAAAAAACCTAGTTTGTTATATATGAAAGCAACACACCTCATTGTATAGGCTGTATTCTGTGACCAAAAATGTTGCTTAGAAAACGAGTTATGTTGCCTTCCTTCGTGCATTGCTTTAAAATTACATAAATTTATAGATTCTGATATGCCTGGCACGAATTTTCTCATGAAGACCTGCAGTTTCTTTATATTTTACGATCAAACATCATCATTTTCTATTAAAATTAGCACTATTTTTTTTTTGAAACTTCATGTTATACACAGTTATTGTACTAGTTCAAAGGCGGGGGAAAGGGGGGTATCATGCGGTTCATCTCAATATGAAATTGCAAAGATTCTTTAATCTAGAGCTTTAAAGATTCTAAACTTGTCCCCACCTCCTCCGCAGGCCATACAGCCCGTAATGAGTATGGCCGTTCGCAGGTTGAAATTTGAGACGAAGAGAGGCAGAAACTTGTCCTACACTTTTCGGGGTTTACTGTCTTGCTCAAATTTGTATGAACAACGAACAAGGAGCGCACGATATTCAATAGATCTTCAGGACCCAGATGTATTTCACACAAATTCACCATTGGCAGCAGTTCTTTCAAAAACTAGCTCATGCACAAAATCTGAACTTTTTCCTATGGGGAATTTATAAGTGCTATGACCACAAAGACGATCATACGTTTAAATTTGCTCGCGCTAAATCTTTCTATACACTCTTTTTTAGATCTAACCGGGAGCAGCTGGGACAAATGGAAGTAATAGGCCTTTTGGCTGCGATTCCGGTGTAGCTCTTTAACAAACTGTGCTACAGAGACAAGTTGCTTAAGCATTAACCACATCATGTATATATAAAATCGAACCTGCCTGAGGGCCTAAACTTGCATAATTTGCAACTGCTCCTGGTTGTTAGGTCGAAAAAAACTATAGAATTATTCATTATTAGTTGTATCAAACGAGATTCCCAAAATGTCGATATAAGAATCTCTATCAATATACTGTTTGCCATTTCA